GAGTTGTCATACCTGCTCTAATGATGGCATGATAACTTGGTGCCAGGTGCTGTACCAAGCACTTTCCATGCATTGTTTTATTTAATTTTCCCTAACACTCTTTGAAGTAGGAGCTCTTATTCTGCCCATTTTATAGGTGAAGAAACTGAGATCTAGTGAAGTGGTGTCCAATACCACATAGCTAGGAATTAGCAGAGCCAAGAATTGTCTTTAGGTCTGTCTGACTCTAAATCCACGTGCTACACTTTCTACCCAATGTCTTTATCTTTCTTCTTCAATTTCCTCATAAGATAAAGGCAGGAATTCTTGCCCTTTCACTTTTTCCAAAAGAATTGGGGAGATACATACATGGATATATACTGTAGGTTAAGAATGTGAGCATTTCATAAGACGGTGTTCCAAGTGCTCCCAAGCAGGTCACTGAGGTGGCTCTGCCTGCTCAGGACACTCGTGACCTTTTCCTGTTCACCCTGTGCTCTGTCCCTGAGACTGGAGAGCAGCCACTGTCCATGGGGCCTACCAGCTATCTCTGAAGCTTCTAGGGATCCATCAGTCTCAATCTTTCTTCCTTTGCTGGCTTCCTGCCATCCTTTTCTGCCTTGAGAGAAGACAAAAGTTATGGGTGATATCTTCTTTACACAGGGCCCAGTCTGCTCCCCCAGCCCTGTCTGAATTGAGTGGTGGGCATGAGGTTCCAAAGGAGGCAGGGGCTAGTGAGTCCAAGAGCCTCTTCCCACTCGTGTCCCAAGCATCTACTGTGGGTTACAGTAAGCTGGCATTACAGATTACTGAGAGCATCCAACCTCCATTTAGAGGTACAGCCTACAAATGGCCAGTTTTTGATAGGAAAATGGGCATTTCAAGTACCTTATTATCTCTTTTGTCCCAAAGCCTAACAATGCGTAAGGAAAGAGTTATTGGTGGAACATTGAAATACATTCTCTTTTCCTGTACTGAGTGGTGGTGTTTTAAGTTGAAAGAAAGCTGTAAATGTAAAGATGTAGGTCTGTCCTCCACTGAGAGCCAAGGATGATGGGAAGGTTCTGCAGGGTATTCAGGGGCAGATGATCAGGTGAACCCCGGGTTAGTGTATGGCAGATGGTTTGGGGAGGGCACTAACCTCAGGCTGAGAGTACTAAACTGTGCCTCAATGGGATGTCATGACTTTGGCTTTACTTATGTCAGAGTCTGAGGTTTCCTTTTGCCGCTGCCTCCTAGGTCACTCCTTGAGATGGTGAGCCACCTTGGCAGAACATAGTTGTGTGCTACTCTCCTTTTCCCTCTGTTCCCCAGCTTCAGCATAAAGCCCAGGGGAAACTGCCTGCTTGTTCTCTACCACCACATCTTGAATGAGAACCAAGACCAGATGACATGGGTGCAGGCCAGGCCTTAAGAGGACACCATTACGCATGCCTGCTTGCTGTAGAGTTTGCACTTGCCCTCTGGGTACACCTGCAAAGCCTGGACCACTGTCTCACACCTTTTTCCTAGCCTCACTTTTTCTAGGTCACTCCCTGTGTACCTCCCTGCCCTCCATGTTCTCTCTCTCCCTGTTTCATGGAAAAATATGTGGAGACAATGAATTGGTCAGGTGTGCAGCCCATATGGAATTATTTGGGGGAGATGAAGGATCCATTTGCGGATTGATTTCTCATCCTTAGTAGTGGAATAAAATGCTTCTGGAGGCGTTAATTTGTGTGCAGGAGACAGAGGCGCTGGAAGCCTTGTGAGAGTTGCCATTTCTCTCATGTTCCCCCACCCCATCCTACTCCAGGAGGTGGGGAAGCTGCTGTTTGTGTATCAGTTGCCCCTGGCCTCTTCTTCCTTCATCCTTTCTGGGCCGCCGCCTCCTCCCTATTCACTTGTCTTTTTTGCCCTTGACTACTACTTCCTCATTTATCTCTTTTCTTCTTTTTCCCCAGCATCAGTTCCAGTGTTTATCCCTGGCTGTCAGGAGGGAGTGTCTGACTCTGCGTATACATGCATATACATATGGACATGCTCATTTAGGGGAAAGGAAATCTGCGGCTTTTGGGATAATCTTTGTTCCCTCTTATTGTAGGTTGTCCTGATAATGCTGTGAGTCTCCCACTTCCATTTTTTATTCCTTTTCCCCACAGCCAAGGCTGCAGGGATGAGTATTTTGGAATACTTGAATTTCCCTTTTCATCCTTCTCGCTCCTTATGTGGCAGCCTCTGCCCCTTGTTTATTCTCACCCAACCTGGCCCCTCACCCCTCTCATACCCGGACATAGCCAGGCACCTGTCCAGAACCTAGTGCTGTGCTGTGAACTCCCTGTCTTTTACTGTGATTGGTGTCCCAGGGAGCCAGGTTGCTGGGGAAAGCTCATGTGGCACTCAACTGTTCCATTTTGTCGACAGAAAAAGAGGGGAGAAGCTGGCAGAAAGCAAAGGCTTTTGCTGCTGGGTGAGTGTAGCAGCTATTTATAGCACCCAAGCCTTTGCTTTTCCATTTGGCTGTGCTTTTTTAGCACAGTGCCGGTCCAGCAGGGCTGTTTTTCTTTATGGCTCCAGATGTCCTTAGGGAAAGTTTGTCTGGGAAGGTGTGGTCCAGGCAAGGGGGTAGTAACTTCTGAGAGAGGGGCGAGTTCAGGCAGGGCTTTTGGTCTCACTGCAGTCATGTCACAGGACCAATTTCTTGAGGTGGAGCATGGAGGAGTGTGGCAGGAATAGGAAAGAGAAAAGGTAAACACCATACTCTTAAGAAATATTCCCCCATAATTCAGTTAAGCCTTTGTTGAGTAAATTGCCTAATGAGGTATTTTGGGGCTGAGTGATCAACATACAAATTTTTTATAAGGGTCTGGGCCTAATACTGACATGTTCTGAATTTTTCTAAGGATTTTTGTTTTGGTCTTTTGTTTTTCTGCCTTTCTTTTCTATATCATTTGCCAATTTGGATTAAGTTCGCTTGATTTCTATTCTAGTTTGCTGACCAAATTTTTTTCACCACTCCAAACAGAAACTCTGTACCCAGTAACTCCCCTGGTAACCTGTAATCTACTTTCTGTCTCTGAATTTGCTTATTCTAGACATTTCATTTAAGTAGAATCATATAATGTCTGTCCTTTTATGTCTAGCTTATTTCACTTGGCACAACATTTTCAAGGTTTATTCACATTGAAGTATGTATCAAAATTTCATTCTTTTTATGGCTGAATCATATTTTATTGTATATATACAGACATATACCTCATTAAAAATACATTCATCCATTGATGGACACTTGGGTTGCTTCCACCTTTTGGCTGATGTGGATAATGCTGCTATGAACATTCACATAGAGGTATCTGTTCGAGTCACTGCTTTCATGTCTTTTGGGTGGAACATATACCTATGAGTGGAATTGTGGATCATGTGGTGATTCTATATTTAGCTTTTTGAGGAACCACCAAACTGTACCACAGCAGCTGTACCATTTTACATTCCCACCAGCAATGTATGAGAATTCTAGTTTCTCCACATCCTCGTTAATATTTATTTTCTGCTTTTTTTTTGTTTGTTTATTATAACCATTGCAGCAGATTTAAAGTGTTCTCTCACTGTGGCTTTGATTTGCATTTTATTAATGATTAATGATGTTGAGAATCTTTTCATATCCCTGTTGGCATTTGTGTATCATTTTTGGAGAAAGTCCTTTGCCCATTTTTCATTTGGTTGTTTTTTTGTCGTTGAGCTGTTGGAGTTGTTTATATATTCTGAATGTTAAACCCATTCAGATATGTGATTTGCAAATATTTTCTTCCATTTTTTGAATTGGCTTTTCATTCTCTTGAATTTGTCCTTTAACATGCATAAGTTTTTAATTGTGATGGAGTTCAATTTATCTATTTTTTCTTTTATTGCCTGTGCTTTTAGAGTCATATTTAAGAAACTGTTGCCAACTCCAAGGTTATTAAGATTTTCCTATGTTTTCTTCTAAGAGTTTTAGCTCTTAATTTTAGATTTTTGATCCATTTTGAGTTACTTTTTGTATATGGTGTAAGGGAAGGGTCCACTTCATTCTTTGCATTGTGGATATCCAATCCCAGAACAGTGTGTTGAAAAGGCTGTCCTTTCCACATCGAGTGGCCTTGGCACCTTTGTTGAAAATAATTGACCATATATGTGATTGTTTCTGGGCTCTGAATTCTATTCCAATTCTATATGTCTTTATGCCAGTACCACACTGTTTTGATTACTGTAGCTTTGTAGTAAGTTTTAAAATCAGGAACTGTGAGTCCTCCAACTTTCTTTTTCAAGATTTTTTGTTTTTGGCTACTCTGAGCCCTTGAAATTCCATATGTATTTTAAGATAGGTCTCTCTATTTCTATAAAAAAAAGTCATTGGGATTTTGATAGGGATTGCATTGAATCTGCATATAGCTTTGGTAGTATTGTCATTTTAACAAAATTAACTCTCCAAGCCATGTACAGGGACATCCTTTCATCCTTATGTCATTTTAATTTTAACAGCCTGCACTTTAGTTTCTTTGTCTGAATTTGAAAAGTGATGTGAAGGCTTCTGGCTTGGGAATATTGAACTTTACTAGTTTAGGGTATGCTAAAGGCATCTGTCTTCAGGTATAACAGCAGGTATGCTTTAGAAGTGAATGGTTATAAAGACTCATGCAGATTTGGGCCCATGTCTGTCCACACACAAATCAGTTGTTAGCTTCCTTTTCTTATCATAACTAATACCAGCCTGCACAACTTGGTAATGAGTTGATAATGAGGAAGGAAGGGATCAGGGCTGTTATAGCTCATGCAGGAGTCCTGGTTGACTCAGTTCCAACAAAGGCATATCTCCCCATGGCTAGATGGACTCCTTATGGGAGATGGAGGCTTACTTCAGATCTACCCCTGTGGTAGAAGACTTGTGATGCCTGTAAGTGGGAAACATCTGACATCCAACCAGTGACATCATGGGAATCACAGTGCTGAGGGATCAGGCACCAGCTTCCTGTTTACTTTCTGTTTTCTGTGTTTACATTTGTCAGGTCTCCCTGTGCCTCCCGAGGGCCTGCCCCTATCTAGGATGGCTCCTCACGGCATGCTGCTCGGGCTGCTGATGGCTTCCTGCTTCATCTTCTGCCTCAGTCATCAGAACCCAGTAAGTATCTTTTCATCAGTAGAGGGATCCCTGTCGGGTCCAAGAAAGACTCCATTGCCACCAGGACTGCTGTGGGAGTGGGGTGAGCTTTTATTTTTCTTATAGGAATGTGGCCAGCGTTGGGTCATAGAGTCTGTGTACTTCTTCCCCTCTATCGCTGAGTCCTCTAGCCTCTGTTTAAAACTCTCTTTGGGGAAAGTATGATGATATTAATGACATAATACCAATAAGCATTGTTATTAAATGCTTTATATATATTCTCATTTAATGCTCCCAACGACACTACGAAGTAGACAACTGCAATTATTATCCTCATTTTGAGGAGGACACTAAAGCTGAGACATTAAGTAACGGCCAAAATCATACAGCCAGTATGTGACAGAGCTGGGAAAGTCAGGATTCTCCCCCAAAAGCTGGGTGCCTGTGTGGTGAGCTCAAGTAAGAATGTTTCTTCCTATACTCCCCTTGTGCTTTCTCAGTTTATCTGTATCCTCTTTCCATCTGTCTTCTTGTTCCCGTTCTTTGCAGGCCTCTATTAATCTAGACCTCATTGCTTAGGGCTTCTGTCATTGCCATAGGCAGGAGTAGAATGCCTGAGAAAGTCCTGAGGTTGGCCTGGCTATAGCATGCTGAGGCTTCTGGCTCTGTTTCCCTGGCTTGCCCCAGCAACAGCCTGCCCTTGACCAGTTCCCAGTGCCCTCTCTTTCCCCTCCCTTGAGAAGCCTTGACTGTCAGCTCTGACAGCTTCACCCTCCCCTGGCTACTTTCCCCAACCCCAGGGGCTCCCACTAAATGTTTGGTAAAGTGCTGGAGGCTTTGGAGCAGGAGGGCCTTGAAGTGCAAATGACAATTGTGATGAATTTAATAACAGTCCAGCTCAGCTGAGATTCACCTCTGGCTCATGGCAAGCTTCCACCTTCTCTCTGAAGTCATTTGTTTTCTCTCTGCCTTTCCCCCTAGTTTGTAGAGCAGGAGAGAATGTACAGTTAGAAGTCATGAATCCTTTTGAAATTTTAATGTTTTCTAAGATCTCGTTGGTGCTGGATTTTTGGCCTCTCCTTCAAGGACAGTGAGAAGATCTCAGTGGCCCTAGAGGGTGGGACTGACCACAGCATGAGGACTGAAGCTGTCTTTGGCATAATGTGGCCCAGAAAAGCACCCAGATATCTCAAGGGATCAGGGCTGTGTTCCCCTGCAACTTGCAGCTCATGAGGATCTTGGTGCTTCCCATCATGAGCTTTAGCAGATGCACAATTAACAAAAGCGTGCTGATGAATTTACTTAAGAACTGTGTGTTAGTAAGTCCCTTTCGGATAATAGTCCAACCAAATAGATGAGCTTTCAGAGTCATAATTATTCTGGCCCATTTATATTAGCTCTATTGAGTCTAGTCTCAGAAAAAATGTTAATACTGACTTTCATCAACAGAAGCTGCTTTTATCCTTCTGTCTGTTCCTAAGCTGTATCCATTTGTCATAATCTTTCATCATGTGCTAAGCACAAGTAGGAGTTGAAGCATCTTTTCTCTCATACCAAAAAAATTGCTTTCCTGATGGCATTTAAAATCCAAATTATGCCGCCAGCCACCTTCACAACAGTGCAAATGGCCAGTGGAGGAGGTGGGGGTGGTTATGATTCTTTCTTCAGAGCCTGGAGTCCAGGCAAGTGCTCCCGGAGACCTGGAATTGTCCTCCCCAAGGGCATTTGTGCAAATTAATGGCCACCGAGGAAAGGCTGGCTGTGTGTATCAGAGTATGATCTGGAGCCAGCCTCCCTTCCTGGCTCTTGCTGTGGTACTTCTCTGGGGTACCACATCTTAGGAGCAGTGTGGATGCTGAAGTGATTGTGGTTATGTGGTATACTGGCCTTCAAAAAGGTGGTGAGTAATGAGGGAGGTAGTGGAATTCACTGAAAGGAGCACAGACCCTTGGTAAACTCCCTTTTGCCACTTACTTTGGCATTTTGGCTATTTCTGAGCTTTGTTTTTTTATCTGTAAAAGAGAGTTTGTACCTCCTCTTAAGATTTTCACATAGATTAAATGTGATTATATATATAGAAATATATATAGAAATATATATATAGAGAGAGAAGGAGAGAGAGTAGGAGGGAGGAGGGAGGGGGAGAGAGGGCACACACTTAATACTGGAACTGGCACAGTAAGGTCAATGGATGGTCAATAAATATCAGCTTTTATTTTTAGTAAGAGGGTAGCTGCTTCTAGGGCTTAATTTAGGCACACTCCTGTCCTGATATGTTGCCCTGGCAGTCTGTCTTTGCCACATCGTCTATCAACCTACCATTAGATATTTATTCTCTTGGATCTTGAAGGCTTTGATCTTTAAGAATCTCTTATTCAGATATAAGCACAAGGAAGTGTGACATGGTAAGGCGTTGTCAGCTAACACCTTAGCTGGGATTTCTTGCCAGTCAATTGAAAAGAAATTGGTATTTGGAGTGATGGTGGTAGGGAGAAGAGGTTGCTGAGGATTCAGCATAGAAGAGAGCCCTGAGAAGCCAGCTGAGAGGGCACCAGAACATGGGATTTACTTTGCAGGTGACCAAGGGCCGGCAGGCCTCTCTCACCTTTTGGTCTTTCTCTACTGTTCAGGACACTGCCCAGGCAGAGAAAGGCTAGTCTTGCTTGTCTTTTTTTTTGGGACTGTGGTTTCTCACCTGGGTCATGAAAGCCTTCCCTTGGGAAGGGGGCTATGCTGATAAATGTGCTAAGATGATTTCATTGCCCCTGCTACATTCTCTCAGTATCCAAGGCATGGCCATTAGGACACATGACTAAGAACAGAAACACAGAAATGAGTCAGAAATCATGCATGAGCTTTGGAGCCAGGCAGGCCTGGACTTAAATCTCTGCTTTGCTTTTCTCAGCAGTGTGATTTTTGCACAGGACATATCCATCCTCATCTGTAAAATGGGACTAAAAGGAAGTGCTTCATAGACGAAACTTGGATGAGGCTTGGAAGGCACATTAACCCAGTGCTGGGCATATAGTAAGGGCTTAGTAAATGGTAGCTGCTGTTATCATTACAACCTCATCCCTGCGATGTTACTTTTCCTCACAACCTTTAGTGGAATACCCCTTTTGAACTGACTTTCTAGCTTATGATATGTTCATGTGACTGAACCTCCTTTAGTGCTTGCCAAATGTGATTTGGGAAAATAGTCCAAAGTCACTCAGAGCTAGTTTGTTGAATAGGGTGAGCTGATCAGACAAGGGAGCACCAATTTTGTATCACTCCCACTAAAAACTGAAGTATGCTGTAAAATAACGACAGATTTTCTCTGTGTATGTATGTGTATGTGTGTATAGCTTAACATCTGGTTCAAAGGTGATACCAAGAGGAAGCTCACCATTTTGAGCAGTGACAGGATTGTTGTGAAAATTTTGGCCTTCCTAGGCCTTGAAACATATGGCTCAGTGGTTCATCAGTCTCCTTCTAATCCTTTTTCTTGAGTGTGCCCTGTTAACTTTGCTAAAGAAATCTAGAAAAAGAGGCTTTTCCAGCCCCTAGTCATCAGAATGAACACTAGCCCTGCCTAGATTTTGAAGGGCTTTCTACCATATTCTTATCATCACCATTCTCCTTGTCTCTTTCTGCTTCTTTCTTTCTCTTTTTTTTTAGATTTAAAAATTTTTTTATTTGATTACTTTCAAGTATATAGTACATTGGTTAGACATTTAAATAGTTTATAAAATGATCCCCCTAATTGCTCTTTCTCTCCTCTGGCTCTCTTGATGATAAGAATTTGGTTGCTTGCTTGTAGCCACACCTGCCAGGAGTTACCTGGCTAATAGATATACTAAAGCAAGAGTTGTTTGTATACCAAAGGAAGATTTGCAGTTTAAAGCTTATAGATGTTTAGTTTGGCCCTCTTAGTATTCTAAAAATAAGAAAATTTCACATACAAATCTGGTTTTCTGTTTTCAAGTTGAATACCTTGATGGCAGTGGTGAACCAGCTGAGTAGCAGCTGTGTTCCTTAGTCAAGGCAAGAGGGCTCCAGTTTTCACAGTCCCATCACTCCCTGTTACTTTAAACCTGACCCACCACACTCATTTATATCCATCTCTGCGGGGCTCTGGGAGGCATTTGACCCACATACCTCTGAGGTAAATTTTATTAACGTTCTCCAAGTCTCACAGTCTATTATATTGTGCTTTGCAGAGGCTGAACAGTGTGGCTGTGCCCTGAAATACATAGGTATTTAGTGGACAAGGTGGTCTTTGTTCTGGAATATGTGGCTGGTGCCTGGCTTCTAGCAGACTCAGCTACTTTGGGCTTGCCTCAGTCTAAGGCATCCAAAAGACATACCCGCCTGTGGGAAAGTGGGAAACATTCCTTCTTTCCTTTGTCCTGTGATTACAAACTAAGCCCTGTGCTAGGCATGGGGCATACAGTGGTGAAAAAGATTGACAAAGAGCCTGCCCTTAGAAGCTTGGCTGTTGGAAGTTTGATGTCCATGCCCTCAGAATGTAGGGTGCCTCCTGCTAGTCTGTCTGCTCTTTAGTCTCGGAAGCACATCTTCTTTTCTGTTCCTGGTTTTCTTTTGAGTTCGGATTTGTGCAAACTTCAAGTTGAAGGGGTAGGAGGGGTTTGAGGGGTGAGGCTGCGTAGGTGACCACAACCCAAACCTGACCTGCCTAAGTGATACCATATTGTATAGTCTCTGTTGGATGTCACAGCACAGACTCATCCAACCCAGAACCTATGACTGTCTTTGTAAGAGTAACAGCTACTGTGTATGCAGGGCTAGTGGTTTACAAGGTAGTGTTTTATCTAATGTATGAGTTAGATGTTATTATCTCTGCTTTACATATGTGGAGACTGAGGCTTAGAAAGTTGAGTAAGTTTCCTAGAGCCACAAGAAACTGATATTTGAACTTTAGATTATCTGATGCAGAGCTTGAGTTCTTACCTATTATGCTGTAGTCAGTGCCCCTCATTACTTGTGACATGATTTGAAGGCCTTTTCTTGCCCAAGATATTTTCCTTACTGGTTCTTAACAAGATAGGAAATCCTGCCATCTGAATTTCATGCCTTTATTTCTTGTTAAAATGTGAAAATCCTTGGAGGGGCTTTACACTGTTATCACCAACGCCTTAACTTCTTAACCTTTCCTCGGACAGTTAATTAAAGATCAGACCCTAAGGGACTCAGGCAGGTGGCGATACCTATTTGGAGCTGGAGCACTACTTGAAAGAGATGCTTTGTTAACTCCTATGCAAAGTTAGAATCATTGGGAACCAAAATGAGGTCTATGTAAAGTACTTAGTATAGATTTGGGTTCATAGGAGGAATCTATGATTATACTTACTGTTTTTAGGGGAAGAATTGGGAGGTAGAGGAAAATAACCTCCCGGTATGCTAGTGTGGGTTCCTTCTTGCTTTCCCAAATATAATTTTCCAGAGCTCTGGAACCCTCTGGTTCCAGTTTCCTGAGGCCTTACTGCTTTTATGCAAGAACAGGTTTAAAAATGGGACTGGAAGGATGGGAGGCTGAGGAGGAGCAAAATGAATAATACTTTGTATTTATCTTGCATCTCTGTCTTCTGAGCTCAAAGTGCTCTACTGACACCATCTCATTAATTCTCCATGTTCTCCATGGGATAGAAGGAAACAGATTTTAAGAAGAGGTTTCCAGGCTGGGCTTCTTCCTTCCTCAGCCCAGCTGGACTCCCAGCTTCCCACTTACACCATTTTCTACATGGTCTGGAATGTCCCAAGTAGTCATTTATGTCCCATAGGCACCTGGGGGGATGGCCAGGTCCTTACTGTGCCCTGCTAGTCTGCTTAGGAATCAAGCGGGCCTCAGCTGCTAGCTTTTGTACATCTGGGGTGGCCATTTGAGACCTTATTCTCCTGTTTATATGTGTTTTTACTTTTATAAATATATTCTTTTTTTAATTGTAAGAGTAATAGGTATGAGTTTTAAATATCAAACAGTGTAGTAGCATATCAAGTAAAAAGTAAAAGGCTCTTATTGTCTCCTTTTGCCAACCTCAGTGTGTTCCCTTAATCCCCTGGAGGTAATATAGAACTTTGTGAACTTTTTCCTTATTTATATACAAAAGTGCCACATACGTATAACATATGCTGTGTCCATTTAACCATATTGCCCCATGCATGCTGGTTATGAAGCTATTCTTGCGAAAGGTCCAAACATGGCTGAGGAGGGGAGGTGGGGCCTAGAAGTGGGGAGAGTACCACCCTAGATCATTTTCTATTTGCCTGGTGCTTAGCTGTGGTTGGTCATGCCCTGTGTTTTCTTTTCTCTGAAGGAGTTTGCACTGACCTACCCAGAGAGGAGCAGCACCAAAGAAACAGAGAGAAAGGAAACCACAGCAGAGGAGGAGCTGGACCCCGAGGTTCTGAATGTGTTTCACCCGACCCATGAGTGGCAGGCCCTTCGGCCAGGTACCAAGCCCAGCCCTGTCCCTATGAAACACTCTGAATTCAAATTGCATATGTCCTTTGTCACCACAGGGCTACTCTGAAGGAGCAACCACTCTTTGCCCTGCTAGAGGGAACAATGTGGTCCATCAGAGTGGTGGTTGCTCTTACAGGGCTCAGGGACCTTCATTTTCCTGCAGAACAGAGATTGCAGTGTCTGAGTGCCCTGGAAGGAATGCAGGTGGTGGGTGGCCAAGCTTTCTGAGCAAGTGATTGAAAACTTTCTTTCCTTACACTTCTGAAGCACAGGAGAGGCAGTGACATGTGCCTCGTTCTGCAAATGCTATTTTGGGCTCCTCTGCTCTGCTCAGTGCTGCTGAAATATTGTTCACAGGAGAGTCCTGAGCAGCAGTGCAGGGCAGGAGGGTTCTTTTGCTAAAGGAACCTGTGCCAAGAAATAGGGGCTCGTCCTGGCCTGGTTTTTAAATGGGACATCCTCAGAAGAACAACTTTCTAACCCTTTTATGAGCTTGGTCCCAGGGCTTAAAATAATAATGAAAGTAACCAGCAATTATGGAGGGTTTACTATATTCACATACAGTTACGTGCTTCATGTACATAGTTTTGTTCAGTATTCACAGTAATAGGAACTATTATTTTTTTTCTTATGAAAACATCGAGGCTCGGAGAAGTTATATAACTTGACCTATGTCATTCAGCTAATTTGTCCTATGTCATTGCCCCCAGAGTCTGGACCTACCTTCCTCTCCCTGGTCTTTCTGGTCCCAGCTATCCTTGGCTAGAGCCCCACTATGGTGACACTTGGGCTTGTTCTCAGGAGTAGGCTGTTTGTGTTCTACACTGTGGTAGGGTAGATGGCAAGCCCTGGCAGCTGCCATAGTGTAGTTTCATCAGCTCCTTGCCGATAGTCATCACTATGTCCTCACTGCCCCCATTGCTGATGTGCTGGCAGGGCAGCATTTGCTGTGTCAGCCAACTTTCTGGTTGTAATATCACTCCTGCTGGACTTGCATACAGGTAGTTGCTACCACACAGGAATGATGAGGCACCAAGGAAGCCAAGTAGGAGCTAATGGTGTTGGGTAGAGGGAGGTTTTAGGAACAGAGGTATTGGATAAGCAGATCCAACCTCTCGCTCCCCTCCCCTAGCTTCCCTGAGAACTGAGCCCCTGGTTCTTTAGAACTCAAACTAGAAGAGTTCTCAGGAGTGGGGAGTAGAAGACATGGGCTGTATCCACTGATTTTAGGTGGTTAAAAGTGCTTGTACCGCTTTAAACCAGATAAGTGCCTGGAGCTAATGGAGCAATGTCCTGTGCTCCCTCGCTTCTTGTGGCACCTTTCAAGGTCCAAACTGCAGAATAAGCGAGGAAGTTCTGACCCAGGGCTCTTGCCTGACCTTCTGGCCAGTGGGGCTGCTGTTAATGGCTAAGCAAAGAGCCCCTCTCTGTAGCCTTGGGGAGGGAGAGCCAGAGCATATATGACAAGGGCAGGTTGAGGGCTCTGAGTGCCTCCTGGAGAATTAGAGTGGAATACTGACTTTTACATTTAACTTAATGCCTTCTAGTTTCTTAAGAGCCCTCCATAAATTCTTCTCCAGATTCCCCTGAAGCTGTCCCAAAGCCTGGTGTGTTGCAGTTGAGTACAGACACAGGCCCCACAATTCAGGGGCAAAGCAACTCTAGTTCCAGTTGTGCCCTGCCCCATCTTAAGTGTTAGTTGCCTATACTCACTCCCAAAGTAGGACTGGTGAGGGCCTTGTGCTGGCCTCAGTGTCTGATGTAGGATGGTTCTGAGTCTGGGGGCTGGGGAGTCAGACCAGTCGGGGCAGGCAAGGCTCTTTTAGGCCCAGGTATCAGATTGAGGTGTTCTGTGTATATATCAAGAAAGTTTTGTATGTCTGTGGATGGGAAATTGATCTCTTAGTGGTCTGTGTGAATAGCTGGCACTTGCCAAAGTATAATATTTAGTTCTCCACACTCTAAATGCTGGCTGGGAGCTTCCAACACAGCTACTTAAAGATTAAAGAAATATAGTCAGTCCTGAGAACTTGTTTGATGGGTAGATAAATGGGGAGGTAGTATAACTTAGTGAATAAGAGGACAGACTTTAGACACAGCAGTTCTGGGTTCAAATCATAGCTTTACTACTTAGGAGATCTTGGACAAGTCACTGAATTCTGCTGCCCTTCATTTTCTCTGTTGGTGATGTGGGGGAAATGTCTTGCCCTTCCTGTTGCAGAGACTGTTGTGAGGGTTCTTGACATGAAGACATCAATCAGTACACAGCAATTCCGATTTTAAGTGGTAGAATTTTCATTTGTTCTACTCGTTCAACTTGATTGTGGAATTAAATACCAGTGAAGGTGTAGCCTTCCTGTCATTTCTTTCCTTAGGTAGGGAAGGGAACTTCTGGTGAGAAGAAATGAGTTCCCTGATCATATAATGCTCTCCCTTCACAGAGAATTTTGATGAGAGAGCAGAAGGAGATAGTACGGCATTTTCTACCTGAGAGTCAGGGACATGACACAGGAAGATGGTGGTGTATCTTTTGGGCATTTTTCAGAAAATGGCAAAGTGTTGACCCCAGTTCAGTACCTTCTGTCCTCATCAGATATCTGAAGGGAGGACCTCAGCTCTGTTGTCCCCAGGCCTCTAAGAAGGAGATACTGGGGTACCTGGTTTGGGTTCATTTGAAGGGAGAATTCAGTCATGGGTTGGAATATCAGAGACCAACCCATGACTTCATGGGCCTTCCCATCAGGACAGGTGGGAATTAGGCCCTAGCCACTCAGCCCTGGATGAGTTGCAGGTCACTATTCTGAAATCTGCCTGCCTCTGTTGCTACTGTCAGCATTCTTACCGTGAGCCTCTTGTTCCTAGAAGTGATTTTCTTGTCTCTCTCTCTCTCCTGGTTTATTTTGGGATCTGTCTCACCTTATGGAGGCACAGCAAGCATTTGAGTGTGGATTCAGCATCAGCTGTTCACAAGCAAGCAGAGGAAAGCTGTTTGCTGGCAGATCCTGTGGGTCCTGGGCAGGGAACTCAGGAATTTGCCCTGTGGCTGAGAACCCCTGAAATCTAGGATACTGTGCCTGTGCACTTGTTATTATAGAAAGCTGGTCACAGCCATGTATGGTGGTACTTCTGTTCCCCGAGCATTTTCTGAGATCCTATTTTGTGCCAGGTACTGTACTGGTAGTCAGAGATATAGACAATAGCTCACATTTACTGAGCTTCGACTGTGCCAGGAATTCTTTGAGGGCAGGTGCTATAACTACTCTCATTTTTATAGACAAAACTGAACCTCAGGAGAACTGACTTAGTCAAACAACTAATAACTGGTAGAGTCAGAATTCAACCCTAGCTTTGACCCTAAGCCTGAGCTCCTAACCATGGTACCATACTGTCTGTCTGGGTAGCAAATGGGACATGATCTCTGCCTTCCAGCAGCTCATAGTTTCACAGAGGATAACAATATAGAAAAAGGCACCAAAATGTTTTGGTTATTCTGGTGGAAGTGTCTTGTGTTCAGTGAGGGCATAAAGGCGGGGTATGGGAAGGGCCTTCTCTCTCTATCCCTGAAATCTCGGTAGAGCAGTGAGTCAAATTTTATGATATACCTCCAACCCTTTAGTTCTCTTTTTGAGTTATGTGGTCTTGGTCTCTTTGATTAGAATCTGTGAACCTTAGTTTCCTCATCTGAAAATAGGGTTGAAAATACTTCATAGGAATGAGTTGAGATTGAAATAAGATTAACATATGTAAAATGTTTCACACAGGGCCTGGCACATAGGAAATATTCAATAAGTGGTTATAGTTGTCATTTGAAAAAATATACCTTTGCTGCCTCCTTTTCCTTGGGGACCTGAAGGAGAAATGAAGGCAACAAGGCAGCCTGGGCAAAGGGTCCCCTTGTGCTGCCAATTAGCCAGTGCTGCGTGTTGACCCAAAGTGGACTCAGGGCAGCTCAAACCTGATGCTCATTATTGACCTAAGCTGACTTCCAGGGGGCTGTGAGAACCTCTGAAATACTAGCATTAGTTCAAAGAGCCTGCCTACTTGATGGGAGCATGCAGGAAGCCTGTGCAGGAACACGTTTATATGAGAGTGGGGGAGGGGTGGTGGCGGAAAAAAAACCCAAATCATCAACAACTGATGAGAGCAATCCAAGAATTATAGAGCACCAGCCATCTGGTCAGATCATTTCAGATCTGCATGAGCAATAGGAGGGAACTGAATTTTAAAAACCTCATTTATAGTAGACCAACTACTCTGTTTCAAGTATTTAAAAGAGGAGTCTGATTTCCTGCAGGCCTGGACATCTGTCTGAAGGAGCACCTGCCTCTGGTCTGGGTGATTCTGCAGGATTGTTTGTGAGGCCTTTGGCTGTTTGCAACTTGGATGGGTTGTGTGATTACTCAGTCCTCTGACACCAACTGGATGACCAGCAGTTTACTTCCATCCTGATGCTATCTACCTGGACTTAGTGTCACATCGCACAGTTTAATGGCGTAATGTCCCTGCCAGTACTTCAGATGCGTTGCAAGTTCCAGGCCACCTGTACTTTTTTGACAGACCAGCTGTAAGTTGGGGGTTTCCACGACACCCTTCTCAGGTTCAGTAATTTGCTAGAATAGCTTGCAGAACTCAGAAAAACACTTTACTTATGTTTACTGATTTATTGTTAAGGGTACAACTCAGGAACAGCCAAGTGGAAGAGATGGATAGGGTAAGATATGGGGGAAGAGGTGTAGAGCTTCCATGCCCTCTCTGGGAACGCCACCTTCCCAGCACTTCTGTGTGTTCACCAACCCAGAAGCTCTCTCAACCTTGTTGTTTAGGGGCTTTTTTAGAGGCTTAGTTACTTAGGCATGATTGATAAACCATTGGCTATTGGCGACTCAATCTACAGCCCCTCTTCCCTCCGTGGTAGAACGGGGATGGAGCTAAAAGTTCCAGCCCTCTAATCATGGCTTGGTCTTTCTGGTGACCAGCCTCCATTTTA